GAGAGAGAGAGAGAGAGAGAGAGAGAGAGAGAGAGAGAGAGAGAGAGAGAGAGAACTTTGACTGCTAAACCAGAGGCGTAGCGTGGGGGGTGCAGGGGGGGCCGGCCGCACAGGGCGCAACATCTGGGGGGGCGCGCTTGCACTCGCAGCTCTCTGCCCCTGCCTGGCTCACTCACTCTCTCTGCAGTGCTGGCTGCGCGAATCCGATCCGAGCCGCCGGGTCGCCGACGCCGCCCACTGTGGAGGGGGGGTGTGCCTTGCCCCGGGTGCTGACAACCCACGCTATGCCACTGTGCTAAACTTGACTGCACCTTGGCTTTTTTGATCACACCCTACAGACATACTGTACCCAGTTCAGGAAGTCACCTGCCAATTATCTAATGTAGATAGCCCAAATTAAGGATGCATTTGGGTGTTATGGTTGATTAATATTCTAATCCTCAAGATCGGTGTTTCTCAACCTTGGCAACTTTAAGATGTATGGACCTCAACTCACAGGAATCCTGGGAGTTGAACTCCACACACCTTAAAGCTGCCAAAGTAGGCAAACACTGCTCAAGAGGATTGTCCGATGCAGCTGAGTGAGTATATACAGTGCTTTTTTTCTAAAAAACAAAGGTGCCAGAACTCACACATGTCATACAACCCGCCTTGCCTACCCTACAAGGTTCCATCCAAAAAAGGTGCCGGAACTCCGTTCTGGGCATTCTATGAGAAAAAAAGCCCTGAGTATTGTATATGATTCCTATTATTTCAGCAGAAGAGACCCAAACTGTCACTTCTAGATGCAGGTTCGAATCAGATCAGTTGGTTTCATCTTGCAACCTTGGTTCCTACAGGTATAATAGAGAAATTTCATTTGAATTTAACCAAAGAAGAAATTCAGCAGCTCATAACAAAATATGATTTTAAGAGTGTAGGCAAGTTTGCATACTGTGACTTCCTTCAAAGCTGTGTGCTGCTGTTTAAACAACAAGAAGTATCTCCTCTGCAGAGACTTCTGATCCAAAACTCACGGGTCCAGGTAAGCACTCCTTGGTGAAAGGGGGAGCTTCTATGCTAAAAGGGGTGTGTGTGGGATGGTTGTCTTCCCTAGTTACACATCTTTCATCTCCCCAAGTAGTACAGCTGTTCCAACACTCACATAAGCCAGACCCAGTCCTGATTGCAATGTAGGAAATATATCCACAGAAGATGAATTATAACTGAAGAACTGAAATGGACCCACGTGGGCACATAACCCATATATCCACACAAATGTCACGTGTGTGAATATGCAATTACTTGTGGTTTAGAAAAACACCTGCCTTTCAATAAAACGTGTTAGTTGGAAAAGATGTGACCGGACACCTTCTGACCTTTTGTCAGCATTCACTAATCCAGCTCTCCTCCTACAAGGACCTTGTTTGAATATATCCGAAGTACATCTTTGTCTATCCCACTGTTTCCCCAGCCTTAGCAACTTGAAGGTGGGTGGACGGGGGTTGAGCATGCTGGCTGGGGAATTCTGGAAGTTGGAGCCCACCCATCTTCAAACTGCTATGTTTGAAGAACACTGATCTATCCAGTGAAAGGGGATCTGACTTTTCCACCTCTCTGCTAGAACATCCCTGGACCACAGTCCCCCACCTTTCTCAATGCAATGATGAGGATACAACCCCAGATCCTGCACTGCTGGCGGCCAATGAGGCGGACATTTAAGTTCTATGATGAAAATGGGACTGGCCTTCTCAGCATTCAAGATTTCCGACAGGTAGTTTGTTTATTGCTAAAACGTCCGTTGAGCAGAGTTGATGGCTTCATAGGCACGTCCATGTAGTTACCATGGGAATCATATGGAATGGTGCTCCTCTTCTTCGGCGGCTGTTTTGCCCAGACTAGCCTACAGCCCTGGCATTCACTGCTGTCTTCCACGCGGGTACTATTCAGGCCCAGACCTGCTTCGCTTCCAAGCATAAATAAAGAGAGCCAGGTGGTATCACCTGCTGAAACTAAATGCCAATTTTAACATTTTCACTTGTGTTTATGTTTTTGCCACCAAGTGAATCAGGCCTTGAAGGAAATTGCCCTTACAATACGAAACTCCCTGTACACATTAGTTGCAAAATTTGAGCAGTGGGTTGTAAAAGCACCTTTCCAATGAAAGCTTTTCCTCCCAAGGAGAGGGGGTTTTTTTTTGGTGGCATTTGAAGTTATATTTTATGTAAACTTGTATGGAGGCACTAATATCTCACAGTTGTCTTGATATTTAAGTGCTGACTCTTGATTGGTTTCTTGGTTTAATTGGTGGGTTTAATTAGAGGTTTAAAAACTACTATTTACTTTGTTATAGCTCTGTTACACCAACCACATGAGGGATATCGGGGCCAATTAAATGGCGTAAATATACAAAGACAAAGGCTCCCTCGAGTCAAGTTCTGCTCCCAAGTCGTGTCCTCGTACATTTTCTTGACAAGAATGTGAAAATAGTTTTCCGTTGTCTTTTCTGATATGAAAAGGTTGAGATAAACAAAATAAAAGTATAAGAACCGGCTCTTGTAACTTTCACAGCTAGAAGTAACTCATCCAAATCCCATTTTTTTAAAAAAAAACTGCCTTCATTCAGTAACTGTTGGTCATCCTATACCAGGGGTAGGCAACCTCGGCTCTTTTATGACTCGTTGACTTCAACTCCCAGAATTCCTGAGCCAGCATGGCTCAGCTTGGAAACCTCTCCCTTTCCCCTCAGCATGGCTGGCTCAGGAATTCTGGGAGTTGAAGTCCACGAGTCATAAAAGAGCCAAGGTTGCCTACCCCTGTCCTATACAGCTCTTGTTTTCTTTGTTTTTGACTTGGTTTGTATCTTCTGCTAAGGGTAGAGGGGTGTGTTAATAACACAAACATCTCTATTTGTGACTAAATAATTATTTCAGTTTTACATTTGTGGGATTTAAGGAAAATAGAGAGAAGCTACCGCTTAATATCTTTACCCCATGTTTGTATCTTTAATCATTGTGAAGGCTGGTCTCCCAGAGCAATTGGAAGATGGAGGGGGGGGGAACCTTCCTAGAAGTTGCCTCAGTTTCTCCCTGCCTCATTAGCAGTTTCAGTCATCTTAATAGACATTCCCCAGCACAATGTTTTTAAAAATAGTCCAGGATTAAACTGGACCATATTATTGAAATACTACAGGTAGTCCTCAATTTGTGACTGTTCACTTAGCGACTGTTTGAAGTTATGATGGATCCTAAAAAAGCTACTTACCACTTGCATTTAAAGTTTTGATGCCTCCCCCACCCCATGGTCCCATGACAGCATTTTAGGTTTTCAGCAACCAGCTGCTGTTAGCGGTGTCCCACGGTATGTGACTGTGATTTACAACATTTTTGCCAGAAACCAGCATTTACTTCCAATTTCCAGCAAAAAAAAAAAGCAAGCCCCCCTAGTGAACAATGGGCTTGCTAAACAGCCATGGCATTCGCTTTAGGACCCCGTGTTTTATTAACAACTGGCTGCAAAAAAAATATCATAAAATCATGCACGGCCACATGATGACTTGCTTAACAATCGTCACAACTTATGACAGTAATAGCAGGCTCAATTACAGTTGTATGTCGAGGACTGAGTTTATTTTAAACCAAAAAATATATGCCTATCTTAATGTAGCAGTATAGATTCCTCCTTGGGAAAATGGAGGTGGATTTGGGATTCAAAAATGGAAATTATGGCTTGCAGTGCTTGGGACACCTGCCTGAGATGTGTATGGCTGACAAATTCTGGCCATTGCTGTCTTAGCCATGTTTTTGTTTAAGAAATCTATCATTTGCAAGGAAAGTCCATTTTAATCTATCATTGAGACGTGGGTTGTCAGAGCTGATCGAATTGTGATACCCCGTGTTGGCCTAATTCCCAAATTAGCTGGTATTCTTGATGATCTCAGATCAGAACGGCAACCAATACAGCCAAGTTGTCCCCTGGGAGGAGATAATGTCAAATATTCTGGGGTTTGAATTGAATGAGGTGGTTGTGCTTAAACAAATGGTGTTCCACTTTGGTTCTCTGCTACAAAATTTTCTGGATGGTAAATAATTAAAGATTAGATCTATGTCCTATTTCTATCCCTTCTGCAGGTGCTACGAAAATATGGAATCAATCTCTCTGAAGAGGAGTTTTTTCACATCTTGGAATATTATGACAAAAACCTAACTTCCAAAATCTCCTACAATGAATTCCTCAGAGCATTCCTGCAATAAGAAAAAAAAGGGGGCAAAAGGGAAATCACCCTTCAGCTTGAAGAATCATTAGCAAGATTTATTAATTTTGAAGTTAATAAAAACCATATAAATTCAGCCTCTTAGTAAACACTTCATCAGCAATCTTCTAAAGCTGATAATATAGAAACTAGTAATGTCTGGTGAAGTCAGTCTTCTCTAGGTTGGGGCTATTAATTTTCTCAAAATCCACTTAGCTGTGAAAACAGAAAACAATTACAGTGACAGTTCCAAGACCCATACACACAATTAAAGGATTATTAAGAACAGGAACTCGCAATTTAGATTTTAAAAGCCACCCTACTCCATTTTATTTGCTTCAGTTTTCTAAATGGATTATATTTAATACATTATCCTCCATTATACAGAAATTGGATACCTCAGAATGCAGCAGAAGTGGTAGCTATGCATAAGCCTGTGGAAATCGTCTATGCATAAATTTTGATCCCAGTTTTGATATGTCAAGTTTGTTAAAAATGGGCCCAGCATAATTAAAAAGTCCTTTTGTATCCAAATGACATTTCCAGAGCTAGAATAGCACGTTCACTTGGGGGATGCAAGTCTGTGTCTCTGCCTCACATCAGCTTGAAATAATTTGTATGAAATTATTTTCCTCCACCCTTTTTTCCCACACTCCCCCACCTTTCTCCACTAGAGATGTCCACAGGGGCATCAAATAGTGAAAAACGTTAAGTGTGGGGCCACCAAAATTCTGTGTTTTTAATACACAGATGTACATCAAAGCCAATTGGAGGTTTAATCCCATTATCAGGGCTGCCGTCTTCACTTTTTGACATATGTTAATGACACCAAAGCCTTTGGCTGTTTTCCACTATGTGGCAAATGCAGGGATTGAACCACAGCTTGTGGAGGGTGGGGGACATTCAACAATTCTCTTGCATATTCCCAGTATAAAATGTCCTTCAGGTTGACCTGTGTTAGAAACTGACAACTGACCCTCTGGTCATCCCTTTTTATACTCCCCGTCAACCATTCAGTTGTGTCCAACCTTTGACCACTCTATGGATCAGCACTGTCCATGCCCCTCTGTCTCACCGTGTCCTTCAGACCTGCCATGATTATCCTGGTGTCATCCTTTATAGTGTCCAACCAACAGATACTAGGGTGGCCCCTGCTCCTTTTTCCACTGATCACTCCTAGCATGATTGACTTTTTGAGTGAGTCAACCTGCAGATATGCCCAAAGTATGGCTGCTCCAGGCAATGAAATCCCAAAAGGTAGAACTTTATTGGATACACTATCTTGGAACTGAAAAAGCAAAACCAGCTCTGGTTTTTCCTGCGCAAAAGCTTGCTTAGTCAAACAATAGATTCCCTTGCCCCCACCCCTTGACTGTTCCCATTGTCCAATAGTAAGACTGCTTTTTGTAATGAGAACAGTCCACTTCTCTATCGAGCACCTGCAGTAGTGACCTTGGAGCTTGCAGGCTCTCCGGGTTTGTGAATGGCTTCTTGGCATCCCGTTTCCTCCCTTGGCTTTCTACCCCTCTCCCCTTTTCTTTAGCAAGTTGATTAGCAAAAGAAGCCAGCAGGCATTATAGCAATTCAGTCTTGACAATAAGCCTGTTATATTGACTAACATAGCTCCGGTCTGGAGATGGCAACCATCCCTCTTCAACCAGTCACCCGCTAACTTGCCGAGGTCCCACATGGCTGGATGCATCCCAGCACCCATGCGCTCGCTGGCCTCTGTGTGCAGGGGCCGATGGTGTCAGACAGCAACTGCCCCAGCCCCTGCCTCACCTTGTCCTGTGACAATGGCACCCCCACCCTGCCTCGCCTTGCCTCACCTCATCCCGCAGGACGAGCCTCCTGCCCACTACCCCACCTGCCAGAGACCCCCTGGATCTCCCCCAATCCTGCTCGAACCCCATAGGCATCCCTCCCCACGAGCAACATTGAGGTGATCATGCCCATCTTGGCCACACCCACCCAATCTGCCATGACTACCACAGCCACGCCCATCCACTGAGCCATGCCCACCTGGCACCTGGCGATAAATAAGTGGGTTTTGGGTTGCAGTTTGGGCACTCGGTCTCTAAAAGGTTCGCCATCATTGACCTAGAGGAATCCTTTTGTTGGGTTCGTCAGACCATTGACATTTATACTGTTCACCCTCCCATCATGGTGAGGTATGGTTTGGGGGGGGGCTTTATACTAACCTGGGAATTTTTGGAGTATGGAGAGGACCATGAGATAATGTAAAGTAATAGAAGTGATATGTGAGGCTCCGAATTACAAGATCTGAGTGCACAGTATTGCTATGAAATAATTCAATCTTTATTAGCCCATAAACTCTCAGCCTTAGGGGTTATTAGTGGAGATCAAAGAATTTAGGAGGGGAGCAAATAAAGCCTGGGCTTTTGGATACCCTTGTAACATACATGATCCCCCATGGCCTCAATTTTTCTAGCCCAAGTCCAGCATCTTTGCAAAAAGCTCTAAAATAAGTCAATGTTATTCAAAGAAGACAAATTGGAACTGTGAACAATTACTTGATGACTGTTCCAATATTATTTGCTAAATTTGTCTGGAAGTAGTTTTTTAAGTTTCTGAAATCATTGCTTTTCTTTTTAGAAATCTGTATTTGAGACATTCAGAGCATCCAAAAGTGCTGTTTTCCTATAACTGCAGTGCTTCTGTGATTCCAACATAGGCATTTGTCATGTCTATGGACATGACAAAAATAATCAGATACCGTGACTTTCCCCATGACTTCACTCTGTCATTTTATCAGGTCTGACTGCATTTAACACGGTATTAATTTCTTTTTGTAATTTGTGAAAACTCATCAGATTTGTCAGAAACATGTTTTTCACCTGTGCAGTGATTTTTAAACTGTTAACACAGCAGCTACTGCTAGAGAGAAAAGAGCATGGGGCACACAAAAATGCTAAATGTGGCAAGTCTAGTGTAGGTTTGCATATGGTTAGAAGAGCACTTATGACCCAAGAAGTTTTCTAGAAGGATTCTTGCTCGGAAAATTGTATCATCCTCTGTAGAAATAGAAAAAGGAAATGCTAGGCATAGCCGATCACTGTATGTAGCCTTGTGTAAGTAATTAGAATTCTGAACACTAATAAAAGCTTTTAGAGTCCTTGTAATGTTTTATATTTAATCCCCACTTGAGAACAGCTCTCCAGTTATTTCTGGTCCTAGAATTTCTAATATTCTTTGGTCTCCGCAAAATACTGCACTTTAAGCACAAGATGCTTGTTCCCGGTTCTGAGATTAAATAATACCAATAAAGTAATATTCCAGGTTCTGAGATTAAATAACACCAATAAAGTAATATTCCAGGTTCTGAGATTAAATAATACCAATAAAGTAATAAGTGTTCCAACGTTGGTGTTGTATTTATTTATTTTTTACTTTTTCCCCAATCAAGAGCACATCCATGTTTGGTCACCCCCTTTCCCTCATATTTAGAGCTATTGTGGAGAAGGAAATTAAATCCTTCTTTTACAGTTCTAATAATGAGATTTTTTTTTTTTAAAAAAAAGATTTTTTCCCCCTCCTCTGCCAGGAATGCAATAATTAGAACAGCTGGAAGACAGAAAACACATGTCACATACTTCCCCAGTCTCTGCTCTGCATACGGCATGTCTTGCAGCTACTTTAATTTATCCCCAATTGTCAAGATCCTGAAGCTGCCTCCTTTCTGCCAATTGTTCTTCAGAACTTGAACTGCTG